TGCTTAATTAATAATATGGATGTTATAGTAAAGCCACTCAAAGTTCAAATGGATTAATGATGCACAAAATATTTGAATAAAATGGAAATACCATGAACAAACGAAGGTAACATCTTCAAGTTTCATTCCTTCCTTTTCCAGTTATTAATTCATCATGAGTCAACCTATTAATTACCGCACAAGACCAATTTAATTCTCCTTAGTCCTTACAATTTGAAACTGTAGGAATTCTTTGAATGACCTACGCATCAATTTAGTTTCAACTGACTCAATGATGATATCATGTAAATCATTAGTAGATAAATATAACTATCACATGATTTTTTTTTTTTTGTCAAAGAATCATCACGCATTTGGACATTCCAGAAAAATCATTGTATAAAGATTGTACTACATCACAATATTATTTCCAGAAGTAGAAGCATGTCACATGTACATATTATTTAGAGGTATTCATTTTAGAGGAAACCAGATTTTCCCTTGACTACATTAATTGGAGTCAAGAATTGGATAGCTGCGAATGAGGTGTTGGTTCAGTGGTAGAACCACCCTTACTCTTAAGAGGAGGTCGTAAGTTTAAATTCCCACTCCAACAAAGAGTGCGGAAACCACAACCTTGCCAATTGGCACCTCTAGAGGGATTGTTATGACAAACTCACTCATAAATTCTCAATTTCGCACTCGAGCTTGTCACCCCGGGCTTGCCTAGGATGGTTTACCTCCCACTGTGATTTGCAGGCTGTTGCAGTGGACCCAGGTTTACCCATCTTTGGTGGGGTTCCCGCCGTTACCCAAAAAAAAAGAAAAGAAAAAAAGAATTGGATAGCTTTACTTCACCACAACTCATGTCCGTAGAGTATCTTCCCTGGAAGAACAATTGCAATCATTTGACCTTCTCCTATTTTCCATACAAAAAAAAAAAGAATGCCAACTATTTTCAATCAAAAAATTTTCACTAAGTCGACCAAGTTCATCAACATATACGAATCGACAGAACTTTCTGCCTGCCTCCGGTAATATTTTGGTCAATATCGAAAGCTTAATAGAAATACCCACGATTGTTAATTTCGTTTTCTATTCAGCTATGTCGACTTGCACATACCACCTAATATTGATAGTAATGTCGACGACAGATGTCAATCAATTTGCTATTAACCTATTCATGAAAGGTTTAGTTCATTTTTCAATTTTTTGAAAGGACAATATACAATTCGGTTGTTGTGACAAATAGAAAATTTAATCTATGTTAAGATTGTTGGCAAGACTGCAATGATGCATTTGTAACGACAACAACAATTTAAGAAATTAAATAGAGAATTTTGAGAGACGTGAAAAACACATTATGTTGGGGATTTATTCGGAGGAGAAAATCCGACATACAGCCCAATAAGTAAGATAAGCCTCATTTGGACTCAAAAACTCAAGGTAATAGGTCCTGAGTTTATCTTACTTATTAACTGATTCACATGTCCTCATGCCTCCGATGTGGGATTCACAATTCTTACCACATGACCCTCAACATTCTCCCCGTCACGGGCAATCTCCACATCGGGCTTCCTAATTATCTTAACAAGCCCAAATCTGTACTCCACTTGAGTAACTGGGTCGCCCATCCCTACATTTTCGCTCGTAGTGGGCCTTTGACTATCTGGGTTCAGTCAAATCAAATGAGATAATTTGGGCTAAATCACCCACCCAACTGGCCCAACTTGGGCTCTGATACCACTGTTGGGGAGTTATCTGGAAGAGAAAACCCGACATGCTGCCCAATAAGTAAGATAAGACCCATCTAGACTCAAAAACTCAAGCTAATGGGTCCTGAGTTTATCTTCCTATTTAACTGATTCACATGTCCTCGTACCTCCGATTGTGGGATTCACAATCCTTGCCACATGACTCTCAACACATTATACTATACTGCTATTTTGTCCTTTTTTTAGTGTAGCAACCACACTATATAACAAAAATAAATAATTTCTGATAAAATTTCAACTTTGCGGATTTCATGGAAAATTTACTCCTTGTAGAGTACAATAGGGTTAAAGAGTATGTGTCTCCCTGAATACAACACTAACTTGATCTAAGTCTTGCACTTAGACAAAACAACCAATCAACGAAAACTTAGACTTTAGATGAAAGCCAAAGGAAGTTAAGAGGAGTTTGACCAATGGAAGGAGTAAGAAATTTTGGGTAATTTAATTTCTCAGTTCTAAGAATTTCAGAAAAGGAGCCCTAATTTATTGGGTGGAGAAATTAAAACATGGTTTTTAATTTAATTGGATTTAAAATGGAGCAATTTAATTCCATATTAATTAAAAAAATTAAAGCAGTAGATTAACATCACACAAAAAAAATTAAGTTTGAGAAATGAAAAGTTGTTCTAATATCTCAATTCAACTTTATATAACTCTCTATTAAATTGATTCGAAAACTTATAAAAGCATTGGTAAAATAAGGGTTATCACTTATCAGCTCCCCAACGGTGTTCTGTAAACACACCTACTACAAGTCACATTTTTTATAAGTCCAACTATACGAGAAATCAATTTATCATCCGCCCAATAACTTGTCTCTTTATTTCCAACATCACTTTGATGCCGTAAAACTCCAACCCTACCTTAATCCAGTTCATCAATAACAAATTAAAAAGAGGAGCAAGCAAATTATGTGTGGAAGGAGAACAAAGACATAATTGAACTCTCATTTGCAAATTCTCATCTTCTTTTTCTTGAAGAGAACATGAGATAAGACGAGTCTTGGCTTTACTTTTTTACGTGTAAATGTCTTTAGTAAAATGCTTACAAAATTTCATGTTCTTTCCACAAAATCCTGTTTTCAGGGTGATTAATTTACTTCCAACATTTGAAGAATTGCAAAAGTAGTATAGGACTAGTCTCGATTTGTACTGTTCTTTCCACCATGTCAACTCAAGTGGCCAGCGTATATTGTGTTTTGCAGTACTTAATTTAAACATGATGATGCTTCTCTATGATTTGATTAATATACTTTTTAATGCAGGATTGCCTGATTTGTTCGCAATGACCCATATCTATTCTTAAGTTACTACAACAGTCCAACTATGCGGTCCAGCAGCAAACATTAATGTCCATGCCCTTGATGTAATTTTGAGGACAATTTTGTTCCAATCAAGTTAGTTAACTAAACTGTTTGAAAGGACTAATATGATTTTTTTTTTTTTTGGTACAATAAAGTAGGACAAAGCCTAAAAATATAAATTATTACATTTAGTGAATGAAAACTCCTGACCAAGTCGTTTTATGACCACATAATTAAAATCAAGCATAACAATAAAAAATCCAACACTTCTATTTTGGGTACAATACATGAGATGATAATGAAATTTCACAAACCAATCTCTACTCAATACTTTGTTGATACCTCGAATGGTAAATACCCATGCACATCCTCTTGACCACGTGACATCCATATTTCAAATAATACGACAATACTATTCTTCAAAGACTCCTTGGAATTGTAGATTTCAAAGTCCTCTCATCATCCATTGCAGCACATATGATTTAGTAACAGTATCTTAATATCTTTGTCAATTCACTGTGGGAAGCAACTATTCCTTTTACTTGTCCTATCTTCCCATTAGTTCTGCAACTACTTGCATATGATACACGGATAATATTATGTTACGACTAATAATTATAAGTCCCAATGACTGTGGATGCTTAAGCCGTTGAGAAGGGTCTTTATGCCTTTAATTAAGGCTCTTTACGGTTCAAATAACAAAGCCTATTTCCAAGAGAAGAGATAGTTTGGTTAAAAAAGAAAAGGAAACAATGAATTATTAATCATGTAATTTGAAGATATAATAATACATATTTTTTTTTCTATGTTTTAAGTGAAAGAAAATTTTAGCTTCCAAATCCCAATCGGCTCAGAAAACCCAAAAAAAGTCTTACTTCTATTAGTAATTGGAACCAAAAAAAGAAAAAAAACCATCCCTACATAAAGCCAGCTCTCCCCCTCGATCCACATAGCAATCCTTTATTCTTCTTTGTTTAATAGCCATGGGTAAAGGTGGGAAGAAGAAGGAGGAAAAACAGGAAGCCGAAAAGAAGGAATTTAGTATGGCGATTTTAGAACGGAAGAAGTCGCCGAACCGGCTGGTGGTGGTGGAGGAGGCAGCAACAAACAACGATGATAATTCCTAGGTGGCTATGAACCCGGAAACCATGGAGAAGCTCAGGAAAGGTGACCTTTTCCAAATCAGGGGAGGCATGAGAAGTGTAGAATTCAAGGTGGTCGAAACCGACCAGGCCAAGTATTGTGTTGTTGCTCCTGATACTGAGATCTTTTGCTAAGGAGAAGCGGTTAGGAGGGAGGACGAAGACAGCTTGAATGATGTGGGTTGCCACGATGTCGGAGGCATTCGGAAACAGATAGCTCAGATTCGGGAGCTGGTTGAGCTGCCATTACTACACCCTCAGCTTTTCAAAGCCGGTTACGATGATGTTGGAGGCCTTTGGAAATAGATTGCTCAGATTCGGGAGCTGGTTGAGCTGCCATTACGACACCCTCAGCTTTTCAAAGCCATTGGGGTGAAGAATGATTCAAAGTAAATTTAGTGTAAGATTTAGTTTGTTGAATTCCTGATTTCTTTATTTTGCAGTTTGAGTTGAGTCCTATTTTTCTCTTGTTGATTATTTCGTAAAGCCTACAAAGAACATCCTAGTTATTTGAGTTTTATGTGAACACTTCAATAAAAATTTATCAACCTCTTTCTTTCAACGATGGTTCTCTCTTTTTTTTTTTTTATTTTGTCTTCCTCATCTGACATATTCCAACAAAGCCTCTGAACGGGGTTTCGCTTTATCGTCCTCCTGGAACTGGGAAGACCCTGATTGCCAAGGTTGTTGCTAATGAGACTGGTGCATTCTTCTTCCTCATCAATGGACCTAAAATTATGTCCAAATTGGCAGCGGAAAGTGAAAGCAATTTAAGGAAGGCTTTTGAGGAAGCTGGAAAGAATGCTCTGGCTATCATCTTTATATATTGATGAGATTGATTCCATTGCTCCCAAGCGAGAGAAGACCAATGGGGAAGTGGAAAGAAGAATAGTCTCACAGCTCTTGACACTTATGGATGGACTCAAGTCTCGCGCTCATGTTATCGTTATTGGTGCTACGAATCGTCCCAACAGCATTGATCCTGCTCTTAGAAGGTTTGGGAGGTTTGACAAAGAGATCGACATTGGTGTTCCAGATGAAGTCGGCCGTCTTGAGGTTCTTAGAATCCATACCAAGCACATGAAGCACGATGAAGCTGTGGATCTAGAAAGAATTTCAAAAGACACTCACGGTTATGTGGTGGGCGTCAATGTTTTTCAAAATCGGGATTTTACACAGGATCGTTTTGACATCTCAGGATCGGATCAGATTCTGGATCGGTGGGATCAGATTGGTGGGATCGTACCCATTTAAAATATTATAATAATTCTGAAATTACGAGTTTCAATTTGTTAGTTCAATTCTTGTTTGATTTTATGGAGGAGAAGTAGACTAGTGCCCACATACGTATCATTAACTTAAAATTTCAACTTTTATATCTTTTCTAATCATTTTCCTTTCTTTTTATACAAAATCAACAACTTGTACAAGTATCGACAAAATCAATGGGATCGTTGGATCGTAGGATCCTACGATCCGGATTGAGATTTTGAAGGATTCCATAACATCCCACTACAAAGAAGGATTTCATAAGATCCATGATCGATTTCTTAATTCTAGATCGCAGGATCGTAAGATTCTAAGATCTGGATCGGGATTTTGAAAACTATGGTGGGCGCGGATCTCACAGAATTGTGCACTGAGGCAGCACTCCAGTGCATCCGAGAAAAGATGGATGTTATTGACTTTCATGGCGATTCTATTGATGCTGAGATACTCCATTCCATGGCGGTTATGAATGACAACTTTCTGACTGCTCTTAGCACAAGCCACCCTTCTGCTCTGCGCGAGACGGTGGTTGAAGTTCTGAACACCAGCTGGGAAGATATATTGGTGGCCTCGAGAGTGTCGAGAGAGAATTCCAAGAGACTGTATAGTATCCAGTCGAACATCCCGAGAAGTTTGAGAATGCCAGATAATATATACACTCATACTCAAGAAATTAACCAAAGACCACCGCTGCTCAAGACGTAAACTCGTGTCTGTTGGAATTAAATTCCAAATTGCACTGGAACTCTCATTTATTTCTATCCTACTCTCCACTTCCTTTATTTTATCTTTCACTTCCTGACGTATGAATTCAACTAAAAAAAAAAACAACCGAAATTGGTGTAAATTAATGGAAGGAAAACAATGCCTTGTAGCCAATAAAAGAAATTGGTTCGATCCATATACCAAAGTGGAGATAATGTAATTGATTAAAGAGATTAATCAAAGCGCGCCTTTGTGTACGGGACCAATAATGATACCAAAGCATCTAGTATACTGTCGGTCATAGATTAATCCAAACAAAATTGTAATCTCGATAAATGATCCAACTCCACATTGAAAAGGGAAAAACAAAATGGGGACAAATACCCGGTAGGCAACGCGGCAACTATGATGGCCACTCTGATGCCATGTCACAAATGACATAAAAGAACCCTATTTTGGTCAGGAAAAACATTTTTTATTTCTTGTGTAAATCAAGTATATGTACAATAGAATACATAGAGATACAAAGTTACCCTCATTAATAACAATAATAATACAATTTACTCTAACATTTGGTGTGCGGAAATTCAACTAATGCATCCATTAACTCTCAATTTAAGTTCCATCAACTAGTTGAAATAAAAGTTCGGGATACATTACCCAATAGAAAAAGGACTCAAAAAGGCTACTTCTTCTAATGCCTGAATGTTAATCTTAAGGTGTTCTTGTAAGTAGATTAACTATAAAACTCATTTTCATCAGCTCCTCCAGTGGAAGATGCAAACAGGTCGGCTGTTGTAGCTCCGGCCGCATCACTAAACTTACTTATGTCTGCACCACTAACACTCCTACGGGCAAACTTCATTGACTCCTCAAAGTGAGCAACCTTGATTTTAGCAATTTCTTCTTCCACATCCTCCTCCATTGCCTCTTGAAAGTCCAATCTCCTCATCTCTTTTTCCTTTTTTTTCTCAATATTCCCTCAGATCTCATACTTACAGGCGCGTTTGCAAATCTTATGTCAGTGCCACTAAATCCTTAAGTGGACTTGGCTAGAGAGCTCAAGTCTACATCCATAGAAATAAGTGATTTTCATAGGCATTCTATGAAAATATGGTGCCTTGAATCTTCATTTGGGAGAGGATTTAATGTAAGTCAATTGATCCAGTCTTCCAGGCATCAAAAGCAGAGGATCAAATAGGTCGGGTAGGTTCATTGCGCCAATGAGAACAACGGTTTCTTGGCGTTCATTCTATCCATTTCAGTCAGGAGTTGATTAACACTCTATCAGAAGGACCTCCAGCATCACCTTCACTGTTTCCCCTCTGGGTAGCAATTGAATCCAGTTCATCAAATAAAAGGACACAAAGACCTTGATTGGCGAGCCTTGTCGAAAATTTCCCTGACATTGGCCTCGTTCTCTCTGAACCACATAGTCAACACAACTCAAGACTCTTGATATTGATAAACCTGACACTTGTTGGCCAGCAAAGTTTTACCGCATCCAGGCGGCCCGTAGGAGAGGACTTCTTTGGAAGGAGACATTCCAAACTTCTCGCGATATTCGACCGGATACTATACAGTTCCTTGAAGTTTTATCTTCACACTCTCAAGGCCACCAATATCTTCCCTTTTTGTTTTCCTTAATCAACTCTTTTCTTGGCAGCACAAAACCCTTAGGCTTTCAATGCTGAATCTGCTTGCTCTCTTTAAACCTCAATTTACTTATATTTATTGCTTTAGGATTTGTACAACTATTAAGAAAATAATAATTAAGAGTTTAATTTTTAAGTGTATTGGTCTTACCCTAACTAAAAATATTGGAACTCTACACAAATTTGATATTAGAGTGCAAAGAAATAGGAAATTGGAAAAGTAGAGATAAAAAGTAGAGATAAATTTGAAATGTTTTTAAAAGTAGAGAGATAAGGATAAAATTGAAAAAAAAAAAAACTATATTTAAGCTGCATTGGAAATAAAGTGCGACAATTAAAAAATTTTTGGTTTACCCTAAAGCGACAGATAAAAGTAAACGGTGGTAGTACCTATTTGTTTTGGGTTAAAAAAATGACCTCGATTAATAAGAAATGAATTTAATGTTAAAATTTTCTACACTTTTAGATGTATAGAGATATGTACATTAAAAACTCTGTAATTAATAGTGTTGATCCTATAAAAATGTATTAATTTATAGAGATTACTATTTTATTATTGATAAATTATTATTTATCAATAAACTAATTTTATTAATTTAAAGATTTCTTTTTCCATTCGATTAGCAAACAAACACTCAATGTCAACATGCTTCCCTATGTATTTATGATTCTATTGTTTTTATTTACTGGTTGGAGGGAAATCAAAGAAAATGTTTTATAGATTTTAAACTTTAAAAAGGAAAAAAAATTCATAATCTCCTACTTTCTTAAACCTTCTTAGTTTTTTCTTTTTTGGTATTTTATATCATTTGTTAATATATAATTTTTAGGGGACCTGTATTTATGTATATAGGAATTTTCTAAAAATTTATTGATTTTGTTTGATTTTTGTACTGGTTCCGAATTGGGACTGAAGAAATTTATTATTTAATAGAGTTTATAAATTTATAAATCATTAATTTAGGGAGTTTTTTGTATTTCTGGAACGAAAATAATAGAAAAAAAAGAAGCTATAAAGTTATAATCATATTAGCTAAATGTGATCCTAAATTCCTAGTTAGTGATGAGGTTCGAAGTTAGCTTTTTAGTTAGTAAATCGAACACCATTTAGGTACGAGAGTGTTTTAACTAAGCTATTATTATCCCCTCTATTATGCAGGAAAAAAAATGAAAAATAAGATGGGATTAAATAGGTAAATAGAGGTCGATTTGTCAAGGCCTATGGCCAGAAACTTCGTAGCAATCAAAATTGGCCTACAATTGCCAAACAACAAGGATTCTCAAAAATCCTTGTAAAATTTAATTCGCTAGCAGCTATTCAGTTGTGCAATAGCTTATATGGAATCAGAATCTTGGATCATGATCTAAGAAGAATCTAGAATCTTTTGAAGTTTAATTGGGAAATTAAATTCCAGCACATACCTAGGAACAATAATGTGTATGCTGATCCTTTAGCAAACTAAGCTTTAGGCTTCAATGAGGGTTTATATTCTTTTGATGTTGCCCCTTTTATGTATAGCTTTGCGTGTTGAACAAGAGTACTTAGGACTCTGTAAGTCTTTTGAAAAAGACATTTAGCCTTATAAATATATCATATTTTCGACAAAAAAAAAATAAGAGGAAAAGGTCGTAGAGGCCTCTAGCCTCTTTACTATTCTAGAACTAATTATAAGGCTTGGTTATTAGATTAAGCTGTATTTACGAATTAAAATTAACTTTGATTAATTTATGACTTTCTAACGAAAGTTTTTCTATTATGTTTGAAAAATTCTTGTAAAAAAAGTTGCACAATTTAGAGGCATTTATAAAGATGCCGTCCTTTCAACAGCTAAAAAAGTCATATTCTTAAAGCCAAATGATAGTTTCCTAGCTGTTATTAATCTTCCAATAGCTATTGAGTTTGTGATATAATTATTGACAAAGACCTCTTTGATTTGATTAGCACAACTTATTAGAGAACCAATTGAAATTCGAAAAAAAATGAAGGAAGCTTCTTAGTAAAATTCGGAAGAAAGAAAGTTCCAAGTAGAATAACAACCGTAGTATGGCGGCCCGTAGTCACCGGCCCATGGGTCCCGCTTTTTTTGGGTGGCGCTTACCAAACTGTGAGAGTTTGCTGCGCGTGGAACCAAAAGTCCATCATGGAGAGAAAAATATCTAACCATATCTTGAGTTCTTGATTAAACCACTTGGTGGATGAATTAAATCACGCTGATCATGGTCGATTAAAATTAGATTTGTAATTTGATAAATAACTTATTATCTTGTTGATATGGATTGATCGATCACTCATCAAATTATTATTTTTTATTTGATCGATCAAATTACAAATTTATTATAGTTTGTAAAAGAAAAATTAGAAAATTTAATTTTTGATTGCCCACGAAGAAAGACTATTTCTCGAATAAAGTAAAAAAAAAAACCATACTAGTAAGTTTTATCCAAATTGTACCCGTATGCTTTTTGCATGTTAGACACTTAGGCAATATTGGGGCATATAAAAAGGGAAAAATTTAGATAAAGGGTAGTGGACAATAAATAATTTATAAAGAGGGTAGTATTTTTAAATAATCCCTTTTACCCTATTAAAGCAGAAGACATTAAACTTATGTGGCAACTAAGTATGTATCTGTTTTGGCTCCAATGCACCATATTTCAGATTTCAGGAGTCTTTTTGCCACGTGTAACTCTCTTTTAATTAGAAGTTATATAATTTTTTTTTTTTAAAAAAAACACATGTTTTGCTATAAATAAGGATCAGTTACATTTCAAACGAATGGATATATTAATTCAAATTCAAATGTCCAATCGTATAGTTTTGCAGGCTTAATATAAACAAAAAATAAAAATACCTAAATCCAGCAATTAAGAATAATGCCTTATAAACTAATTATTTATTATTCCCTTATAACCTCAGATTTATAGGTGTATTTTTTTAAGCCCCAAATCATAGCATAAATGATATATACGCTAAATTAATTCCTCAAAAAATAGTAATTCAATTAGATTTTAATAAAATAGTAATTTAGAAGGGGCGCCCGGGCATCTGCCTGGGCCAAACATCTAGTTTGTGTTAAGGATATACAAAACTCCAATCCCAAACATGAGTTTAGTTATATTTTTAAACAATTTTTTTTAGCTTTAATAAATTTGAAAGTTTATTCTGTTTGTTTTTTTTTTGCGAGTATTATTGTATTACATATGTGACTATAAATATTACATTTATATGTACACTCATTGGTCAAAATAAATATTTACGTTATTTTATTTATTATATTTTTAGAAAATTTTCGTAACATAAAGTACAAAATAGATTAATGAAGTTTTATAAAATTTGTTGTAACGGTTCAATTAACCACGTGCTTTGTAATTTTTTTTGGACAATTTCATTTAAAGCTTAGTTCATATTAAAAAGATAAAATTTGTCTATTTTAAATATCAATATTATTTAAGAAAAATGAATCTTCCGAATTGTGAACTAATAATCACTATATTTTAAATAATGTAATTACTTCTTTTGTCCTATAATATTTTTAATTTTGTAGATTAATATATTATAAATTAAACTTTGCACGTAGATTTAAATTTGCTTATGAAAAATCGAAATGGATAAAAATTGGTTAGATGAAGAGTTAAAATTTTGTTTGTAAATGAGATTATAATGCCCTTAATAAAAATTATTTAAAGATACTGTCCTCTTTATTAATTACATATCTTCCATTGTCACTGGCCAAAATTTTCCCTATAAAAAATAAAAAAGTTTATAAATATAAAAAAAATTATTTACAAGATGATGAAGTGAAAAAGTAAATTTACTGGAGTTACACAGTTACTCACTCCTCTGTTGGGGAGTGCAAATTACACAAAATACGATTTGACCACTTTTCGGGAATCTCGATGCACCTTACCACACCGGATTACTCCACCCTTGGTCAGCTAGGTCACAGCAGCCATCCCACCTATATATAAATCCCTCTCTTGATTCGCCATTCCCTCTTTCTTCTGTAGCAGTGTTTTCTCATTGGGTTTCTCTCCTGCTTCTTCTCTCCTTCATTGCCCATTCCGATTCCCTAGGCGAGTTGAACGCAGGTTTACCCCCGTTTCTTCCCCTTTTCTTCTTTTTTACTGGTCTGAATTTCGTTGTGTTGAATCCATACCGTTGAATCTATAATGTTCGCATCTTGGTTTTCCATTTGCTCTGTTTTTTCTGTTTTGTTTTAGATCTGTTTCCAGGTATTTTGGAATCTTCTGATGCTCTGATTTTTTGCTTGTGGGTTTCTGTAGATCTGTCTCGTGTCTCTGTTTTATGTTGCATGGATCTATTCATCTGTGTTGGATCTGTTCATCTTCTCGTTGTTTTCGAAGTATTTGTCGTTGTTTTCATGTGTAAATCGTGTTTGCCAGTGATAGATCTAGCTTTGTTGCGCTGGTTGGAAGATTTTTCGAGTTTAGTTTGTGGTTTTACAGTTGAATTTTGCTTTTTGTTTCGATATTTGAGAATCTTGTAATGGATTTCCGTCGGATTTTATTTACTTGCAAAAGTTTTGGAATCTACTGATGGTATACTGTTAATTGCTACTCCATGTATGTTCTTACTTGAATTTCTTTACTCAACTGTATATGTATTTACTGGATACTTGTGAAACAATTGCCGGCATCTGAATAGTCTATAGAGTGGGTGAAGTTTGTTCGATTGTGAGTTACTGCATTGGATAATGAGAAATAGAAAGACACGGTTTGGTTACCGTTCAACATCTTTATACAAGTATGGGTCTGAACTTAATGAAATTTGTTTGATCTGTAGAGATTAGATTGAACCAAAGGTTTGATCTTGTGATTATCATTGCAGTCTACTGTGGTTTGTCTTTTGAAGTTGATTGTTGAGATGAAGCTTCTTTTTATAATTATCAAACTTTTTCCTTCTGTACTGATGTTGAATTTGGTAGAATTTGAAAAAAATATCAGCCTTGAATTGTGTTGATCTTAAATTTAACCCTTTTGGATTGTCTGCAGGAGTTCCATTGTAACTTGCAATGGCTGATCAACACCGGTTCCCTACTATTGCTCAGAAAGTAGCTAACCAACTCCACTTGAGTAGTAGCCTCAGTCAAGATGTTCAAGGTCGCTATGGAGGTTTCCAGGGACCTGCTCTTTATCAAAGGCGTGCCTATGGAAATTATGCCAACGCTGCATTGCAAACTCCCTTGACCCAGACTTGCCATGCAACCCAGGATCTCTCCCTGGTTGCAGCCAATGCTTCACCAGTTTTCGTTCAGGCTCCTGCAGAAAAAGGACTCGGAACCTTTGCCATTGACTTTCTTATGGGCGGAGTTTCAGCTGCTGTCTCCAAGACTGCTGCTGCTCCTATTGAGCGTGTGAAGCTTTTGATTCAGAACCAAGATGAAATGATTAAGTCTGGCCGTCTTTCAGAGCCTTACAAGGGCATTGGAGATTGTTTCAAGAGGACCATTGCAGATGAGGGTGTTGTCTCTTTGTGGAGGGGTAACACTGCAAATGTTATCCGTTACTTCCCTACTCAGGTTCGTATTCCATCTGATATACCGCACTTGTTTGACCGCACTGCATATGATCTACATTTATGTTTTTTTTCTGGGCATTTTTTGACTGCTGAGTTTTTTGCTATGTAGGCCTTGAACTTTGCATTCAAGGATTACTTCAAGAGGCTTTTCAACTTCAAGAAGGACCGTGATGGCTACTGGAAGTGGTTTGCTGGTAACCTTGCATCTGGTGGTGCAGCTGGTGCCTCATCTCTTCTTTTCGTCTACTCATTGGACTATGCCCGTACTCGTCTTGCAAATGATGCTAAAGCTGCAAAGAAGGGCGGTGGTGACAGGCAGTTTAATGGATTGATTGATGTATACAGGAAGACCTACGCATCTGATGGTATTGCAGGTCTTTACCGTGGATTCAACATATCATGTGTGGGTATCATTGTTTACCGTGGATTGTACTTCGGTTTGTATGACTCCTTGAAGCCTGTTGTCCTGACCGGAGGTTTGCAGGTTAGTGCTTTGAATCTTTTTCTGTACTGTTCTGTGAACAAATTTGTGAAATTATTAGATTTGCAATCAAACTTGGTTCATCATTATATGACATGTGCTGCCCATAGGTATATCTGTGTTGTTGAATGCAGTTAAGTTTTGCTAAATGTCATCAACCTTTATGTTAGAAATATGGGTAATGTTTTCTTAGGGGAATTCATAGTCATTTTAAGATTGGACAATGTTTTATAGGGGAATTCATAGTCATTTTAAGCTCCTCTTATCTATAATAATTTTTTAGGGGAATTCTAATTTTGTATGACCTGTCTCCGTATTATTATTTTGACGTATATAGAGTTTTGCAAGCGATTCGAATCATGATTTATGCTACTTGTGTTAAGACCGGTTTTCTGTTAAATGGCATGTGATTTTATGTTGCTGAACGAATTTGGAGTTCTACAAGTGACTTGTTTCATGATGTATGCTACTCGCTGTGCATGTGAAATGTTATTTAGTACAATGCATATGGTTTTCTGTTAAATGGCATGTGCTTTTAAGTTGCTGAATGAATTTCGGTCAAGTCCTAATATGTTCTTGTTTGGCTTGGAATTGTATGTTCAATATGTTGTCTATTATGGACATTTGACTTGTGTTTTCCGGGTGTATCTTAGAACTCAGTTTAAAAGGGTTCAATATGTGATCTGTTATGGGCATTTGACTTGTGTTTTCCATGTGTATCTTGAACTCAGTTTAAAAGGGTTCAATATGTGATCTGTTATGGGCATTTGACTTGTGTTTTCCCTCAGTTTAAAATGGGATTGTGTTTTATTTTTTAGAAGATAATCGATTGAACTCTCTTGTTTCTCTCTACAGGATAGTTTCTTAGCTAGCTTTGCTCTTGGGTGGCTCATCACCAATGGTGCTGGTCTTGCTTCTTACCCAATTGACACTGTTCGTAGAAGAATGATGATGACATCAGGTGAAGCTGTCAAGTACAAGAGCTCACTTGATGCATTCACCCAAATCCTGAAGAACGAGGGTGCCAAATCCTTGTTCAAGGGTGCTGGTGCTAACATTCTCCGTGCTATTGCTGGTGCTGGTGTGCTCTCCGGTTATGACAAGCTTCAGTTACTCGTTTTCGGAAAGAAATATGGATCAGGAGGTGCCTAAGGGACTAGTGCTGCTGCAATTTGGTAGTTATAGATGTTGATGAAAATGTTTCCAGTTAAGACTTTTTTAAGGGGGAATTTTGCTCAGCTTAATAACTTAAGTTTTTAGAGAATGGGGGGTTTTGCCCCAAACATATTACTCCTCATTTTAGGGATTTTGTTCCCGTAAACTTTGGTCGTTTGGAGAGGGTTACATATTTTATTTTTGAATTTGTTTTAATTTTAGAGCAGTGTTGCTGCCTCTGCTCAGCCACATTTACTCACTATTATCGAAGTTCTAAAACACTTGGGAGTTTACATGGTTTATCTTTTTGCTATTTTAACTGTGTGTTCTGGTGTGTTTTATTCTCTCTACTTTTTCAGTGCTGCTGTGGCTCGTTTATAGCCAGAAGCAGAGTATATTGGTATTCTTCGTTATTGCTTTGTTTATCATTTTGAGGAATCAATTGCATGTTATTGCTTTGTTTATCATTTGGATTTTGGAGGAATCAATTGCCTCTATGGTGTACGGAAGGGAAACCATTTATTATTGGGAATCAATTTTGTGAAGTATGGAAATGAAAATTGGGAATCAATTGACTTAGTACTTTTTGTGTGTCGATTAATTGAAATGAAATGAAAAAGCTGACAATATGTCAACAGATGTTAACAATCTACAAGTGTCATCAGAAACAATCAATTCTTCAGTAGCTTAAACTTTGAAGCCTTTACGAAGTCATTCCCCAAGTAAAAGTCTTGTGAATATATTCCATTCATTCTTCCTGGAATTTCCAGGCAGAAACAGAATGAAACGGGGTTTCCTTCCAACCAAGGATGAGGCATTTCCCATCCATCTTCATTGTACAAAAACGAAACTGAGATGATCTCTTCAGCAACAGTTCAGCCTGGGACAATGCTGAGCTGCCCAGCTCTGTTTCCACCCATCCCAACCTTGAGAAAAGGCCCCTCCAAAAACCGATCTTTTCATACCGATGAATCCTCTCTGCACCTTCAGCCGTGACAACGTTCAGAATAGCCCAGTGGATTTCTTCTTCAATCATTTTTCTACAAGCAATGTCTTGCCCAATGCAAGTGTTAACGCAATCAAACATCCCGCTGAAGAGAAAAAGCGCTTCGCGAAAGCGTTCCAAGAAAACCGGCGAGTTTAAGCTCGCTTCCATCTCATTTACCAGTACCACGCAGGGATTGAGTTTCTTGATCACTTCCATTACTGATGTCAGTTGATTAGGCTGTGCTAACAGAGTTAAAAGCCGCCATCTGAAGCAAACAACCACGGCTTCATCCACCTGTATCTCGAAAACATCATCTTTTATGTCCTTCAACTCTGATAGCACAATCTTAAACGAAAATGGCAAATCAATTGTTGCAGCAAAAGCAGACAGCCATTTGCCAGCCATTCCTAACATTTCTCTACAACCTCCAACTGCAGTAATCGTGAGCGACTCTAGCGGATTAGACTCTTCCCGGGTAGCGAAAGATTGCATAAGAGGCGTCCAAACGGAGCCATTTTCGATCCCGAAATCAATCAAGTGAACTTTCTTCGCTGATCCAACAGAATCAAGGGCCACTTGACAGGGCACCATATGATTTTCGAGGCGAAGCGCGTGGTTTTGCTGAGATTGAATCAGTTCAGGCTGCAACAGATGCTTGGCCTGTTTCACATCAACCGGCAATTTCCTCTGATGATGACTTTCTGCCATATCATTTGGGACAGAAATCCCCAATTCCCGATCGATCTTCACTTGAAGTGCTTGTGAAAAGTGATAAACCACTCGCTGAACCGGATTACCGTCTTTGGAACCCGATTCATCACACTTCTGAAGCAATTTCCTTGCATAAACGTAGTCCTGTTTTGCAACCTTTTCAGCAGCAGCTTGAATCAGCAACCCCAGCTCTAAATCCTCACGAAATCGAGGCGAAAAACCAGATTCCGGCCCGAACCGACTTGATACCTCTGATAGAACTTCAGGCTTTCGAGATTTGAAATGAAGCAGTAATTCTCTTGCAAACTTCATCACGCCAGCGGTGGACAGAGTATGTCCTCCGCCGGCATCGTCATCGGGACTCCATTCTGTCTCCGATATAACCTTATTTAAATTCTCCTCCGTCAATCGCTTCATAGCTTTTTTTTGGCCTGGATTCCGGCGAGCTGGAATTTATTGATCAAAAGGCCTTATTGGTAGTTCCTGATCACGGAGAAAGAATCTTCTGCCATTCTAACCAAATCGGCCGGCATTCGTTTATCTGGGATTTCTCTGGATGGAATCGAGAATCAGATCATCTTTTCCACAAAATGTTGAACTTTGAAGATGAATGAGGCATCATTTGGCATATATGTACCAATATTTTGAAGATGCTTAGGCCGGTTTTGTTTTTCTTCATGTATTATACGTACTAATTAGTTTATCAACCAAAGCCTAAAAATTTCAAGATATATGGCCTTAGTCCATCAACTTTAACGTAGGATCTAGTTCCGCCCTAAAACATTTTTAAAAATTTTCAATTGAATTTGCTAGTTTTACCAATTGATTGAAAGATAAAAATCAGCTCTAAGCCTCTAACCTCCCAAAATCACAATCCTACAAGCAATGCGTCTGAAATGTTCAAGAACAAAATGGTTAAGAATTTTGAAATATATTTTGCCCCTTCTAAAAAGAAAACTTTATTGAATTTATTCAACCGTCTCTGAATGTTATAAAAAAATCAATAACACTCCTTTATTATGTGATGATTTCACTTCTTATGAAAAGAAAAAAGGTTGACCTCAAAATAGAAAATTAATTTGGAAGACATTTTCGTTCAGCAACTTAAGAAACGAGACAGAATCAAATCGGATTGATCGGTAAAGTGAGGGTCTAAAAATTAACAACTTCCATAAATTCTTGCTTCCTTCATCTGGATTCATTAATTTTGTTAGTGAAGCTTCCCAAATCCCAACTACATACGTTGATCCCCAGCCGGCCAGCTTCTGTCTCCTTATATTGATTGTGTGTTCCAAGGTTCCATTTATTTAATTAAAAATTGTGCCTTGAAAATAAGATTAAACAAGTATAATTATGCATTAAAAATGTGTTCTGTTGGCATACAGAGAGGGTTAGTGAAGGCTATCTGGGAGTTATAAGGGGCATGGATTTTGAATTTAAACATATTTATCGTAAAAGTCTATTTTGTGGCGAATTCACTAGCATTTTTGGAGCTTCTAGGTCAGGAGGAATACTTTGTCTAGATGACCCAGCGCCTATGGTTAACTTTTAGCTATAACATGATCTCGTTGATGTTTTACACTAATGCTCTATATTAGTTTAAAACTGTAAACATTTACGTCTTTCATTGTACTAAAAAAATATTATATTTATAGTGAATCGATTATTTTGGATCCAAATTAAAATTACAATACAATATTGTGTAATTTCCTTTATGAGTTTATATTTGGAGTTGTAATCATTAGTACTTTTCTTAATTAGGTTTTATAATCCTGTTCCCTTCAGTTTCCCAGCGAAAATGGGTTCGACTAAAAAAAACATCTAGATTAGGGTTAGGGTTAAGCACAAAATGGGCGGATTTACGATAGAGGCCCAATTAAATGTTAGGTCCCTGGCCGAAGTTTTTTGACTAGGTTTTAGTTGACAAAAGATTTTAATTAACATTAATTAGTTGGCAAAAGGTTTTAGGTTTTAGTTGACATTTTTGTGTTACATTTAGTTTAACATTAATTAAGTGATTGACGTGCTTAAGCACTTCTCCAAGTGGATTCAGTAACCATTTAATTAAGGTGTTAACATTAATGATAATGGTTCATTTACCATTTGATATGGTGTTAATATTCATGATAAATATATGTTCTTGCGAAGAAATTCACATGATTTCAACTTTTGTTGTCCCATCAAGAGGCAATTTTTTTGTTGAACTATTAGTCATTTGTAGAAGGATTCTAAAAGAAATCGCTCCAAAAATAAATACTCTCCCGTCCCATAATTATTGTCCAGTTTGGGTTTTCATTTCTAGTTCAAATTGTACTAAAAGTGAAATTTCAACCTGGACAATAATTTTGAGACAGAGGGAGGGAGTACTTGAAGTCAAATCTCCACCGTTCTTTTATTAAATTGGGACAGAAGCGGTATTATTATTACTATTATTATTATTTTTTTGGGGGGTGTAATTTGAACGCTACATAAAAGAGTTGATATCAACTGGCAGAAAATCTCAGGAGTAAAAAGCAACTTCGCCTCTATCCTTCACAGAAAATGGATTTTCTGATCACCTTTCTCGTTTCATCCATTATTTCCCTTACATTCATGATAGTTTTTGGGAATGAATTGTTAAGACAAAAGAAACCGAATCCACCATCTCCATGGAAACTACCTTTCTTAGGCAACCTGCATCATTTGATAGGCAATTTGCCACCCCATCAAATCCTCAGGAATTTAGCCCAGAAATACGGACCCCTGATGCACCTACAAATCGGTGAAATCTCTGCTCTAGTGGTATCATCCCCGCCCTTAGCTGAAAAGATCTTGAAAACTCACGATCTCTCATTTTCGAACCGCGCTGAATTTCTCATTCTTAAAATCACAATGTATGGTTGTTCGGATATAGCATTTTCGCAGTACGGCGAATACTGGAGACAGATGCGTAAAATATGTATCGTGGAGCTACTCAGCCCTAAAAATGTCCGTTCCTTTGCATCCATTCGCCGCGACGAGGCTTTGAACCTCATTGCATCCCTCAAGGCTGCTGCTGCTGCAAATTTAGGTGCCGGAGGGAATGTAATTCCCATCAATCTAACGGAAAGAATTCGCGAATACACGAGTTGTATGGTTTCGCGGGCTGCATTTGGCGGAGTGAGCAAAGAAATTAGAAAGGCATTTGTGAAGTTACTTAAGGACTCTGCTTCCAGGGAGAGTACATTGGATGTTGTTGATTTGTTTCCATCGTTTAAGATTCTTCATCCAATCATGTCGAGGAGGAACGAGATGATGAAGATGCGAGAGAAGTTTGACGAGGTCTTGGATAGGATTATTGATCAACATTGCGAAAAATTTGCCCGGACAAAACAGGGGATGGGGGATTCAGGTCAAGAAGATCTTGTTGATGTTCTGTTGAGAGTCAAAGAAAGTGGTGATCTCCAAGTCCAGATTAGTAATGATAATATCAAAGCAATCATCATGGCAAGTACTTTTAGCCTACTGTTTCAATTCTGATTTCATTTCTTGTAACAATGTGGACTAAAAGCCTCATTTTTCATCCTAAACATTTTGGTGCAGGATGTATTCATAGGGGCAACTGAGAATCCATCCACAATAATGGAATGGGCAATGTCAGAGATGATCAGAAATCCGAATGTTATGGCGAAGGCACAAGATGAGATAAGGAAATCTTTTCGCGGAAAAGGAGCAATCCAAGAAACTGATTTTCAAGATTTGAAGTATTTAATGTTAGTAATCAAGGAGACTTTACGCTTACATCCCGTCCTACCCATCTTGGTTGGCAGAAAATGCAGAGAGGAATGCGAAATTGATGGATATAAAATCGCTATTAATACAATGGCTATGATCAATGTTTGGGCGATTGGAAGGGATCCCGAGTACTGGGATGATCCTGAGAGTTTCAAACCGGAAAGATTCGAAAACATTTCTGCTGATTTTACCGGAACCAACTTCAAGTACTTACCATTCGGCGCAGGAAGAAGAGTTTGTCCTGGAATTTCATTTGGTTTAGCTAATGTCGAGCTGGCTTTAGCCCTTTTGCTCTATCATTTTGACTGGAAACTACCAAATGGCCTAAATTCGGACGACTTAGACATGAGTGAGACTGTTGGAATTACGGTGACGAGGAAAAATGACCTTCAATTGCTAGCTACATTGTATGAAGATCCTACCAATAATTGATTTTTGATCAAATAATGTACGCGTGTAAGAACCCTGCAACATGGCGCATCATTCTCTTCTTAATATTTGGTTTTTGTGTTGACAATAAAATTACTAATCATGGCTTTTTATTTCTCCATATCTTTCCTCTTAATTCGATTACTCGAGGTTTTGCCTTTAGATCATTGTTCTGTTGAATGTATTAAGTCTTCAAAAACCAAGAAATCTCCAAAGGTTAGAGTCTGATGCCAGAAGACTCTAGTGATCAGTGTTAAATTGTTTTCCTTAAATAGCTGTAGCTAAAAGTTCTCTTTCATCCTTATGTCCAGGTAAAGTTGGGATGGCAGCTTAATAATATTAGGTGTAAAATGTTTAGAGCATCTCCAACTATTGTACTATAATTTACATTAAATTTGGTGTAGAAATAGAATATTCCAAGCATCTTTGTACACCAAAATTCTTTGCACTCCAACCTTAATGCACCAAAAGATCCAGATGTTAAATATTTTTTGTTTAAAGTTTATTCTAGTGGTTGATTAAAATCTTACAATTTAGTATAGTTTAATTTTAAATCGCTTTTTATTTGATTCTAGAAATATGAAAATGTTCTTTTTTTTTTACTTATTAAATTTTAATAATGACTAAAAATAAATTTTATTTTAAAAATAAATTTTTATATTCAATATGGGTCTCATTTTATAGATCTCAAGAAAATATTTAATATGATATAATATTCACAACATAATTCATTTTATAAGTTTAACTATATATCAAATATGTAACTGGATCAAAGTAAAATATAGTGCACAAAATATAGTGTAGTAGGCAATTTACACGATATTTGGTGTAACATTATTTATTGCATTAAAATAATGCATTGATTTAATGTCTTCGTTAAAGTATAAAGTTTACACCAAAACACCAAATTTAGTGTTTTGGTGTGTTCGTTTGAGATGCTCTTAGGGTTCTAATGGAATTGCCTCGTTGATCTCAATTTTCTAATATTCAGGATACTTGTTTACACGGTATAACGTTTCCTCCATTTTTAACATGATAAAGAATCCGAGTAAAGGTTACAAAAAATATTAAGAGTTCCAGTTTGTGTGAGAAGTCAAGAACGATCCGGAGGCCGATAGATTAGAAGGCGCAAAAAATCTACTGCCTCTATGTATCCAGTTCTTCTTAGATGTATATGTACATTTTTAGATATCTTTTGTTCATCAAGATCGAATTCCGAGGAAATATTTATTAATGCAATTGAAATTTTATTTTTCCAAAAAAAATAAAAATAAAAATCCAATGGATCAGAGCCCACCTTCACATGCCATAAAAATCGAATGCAAAAGTTTTTTCAGTTGAAACATTTGAAATTGGCTTGCGATCAAAGGTACTAAAAAAAAAAAATCAACCCTTATGAAATGGAAGGGTAAATAACAAAGTCTTTCATGGGAGAAATCCTATTGAGTACACTTATAAACCTCTCAGAGCACATTCAGAAAGGTAAAATGGAACCTTAATGCTGATCTACACGCCACTGGAGACCAATAATCTCTTGGACTTTTCATTTGACCATCTTTAATGCTGAACTGCTTCTTACACTTAATTGGAAAACCCCAATAAGGAGAGAGGAGAAATTTGGAATCCCTGGAGGAGACCCGACCAACTGACGTTGAAAGAATTGAACCAGAATCCATTTTTTTATTAATTAATTCGTCAAAGGTGAAACTGAATAGCTCAACTGGGACCATTAACATCAAGTCGGCAAATAGGCGGATTTAGACTACATGAGATTAGTTTTTAATGATTATTTGGTTAATTGATAAATACTTATCCATATTCATTAAATTTAATGGACTTAAATGGATGAATATTACGTATCTATGGGCATGGATATCCATGAATACATACCCGTGAATATCCATAAATACATTTAGTAAACTTTTTAACATTAATCCAAATTTTACCAATTTAATAATTATGAGCCCAACTAAATAAAATGAAATAATAAATTAATTCTTGCACATCAATATGAATATTATGAGTCCAATAATTTAAAAAATACACGTGTATATTTTATTTGAACAAAAAATTCAAATTTGACCCGCATATTGTGACCCGGGTATTCGATCGACCCGTTAAAACTTGATATGAAACATAAAAATTATTATTCTCCTATGTTAAAATTCATATAAATACTTTATTTAAAAAAAAAATTCAAAATTCGACCTATGTATGGTGGTGTGGTTATTGGGTGATCCAGTTCGACCCAGTTAAATATGGCTTGAAATATGAAAACTTGAAGTTCAATGAATAAGAAAATACAAGTATAAGGTTTATTTAAACAAACAAAATAAAAAATCGACCCACTTATCGTGACCCGGTTACTGGCCTGACCCAACTCAATCCATGGGTCAATCCATTAAAACTTTGTAGAAACCATAAAAATTATTAGTCTCCTAAGTTAAAGTTCATGGTTGCAATTTATTTTAAAAAAATCAAAATTCGATACATGTACCGTGGTCTAGTTAATGGGTCGACCCTACACGACCCATTGATCGACCTAGTTTAATATGGCTCGAAATGTGAAAATCGGACTTCAATGAGTTTGAAAATACAAGTGTAAATGTTTATTTGAACAAAAAAAAAAAAATCACCCCGCGTATCGTGACCCAATTAATGGGTCGACCCACCTCGATTTATTGGTCGATCCAGTTCAATCCATGAGTTGATCCGGTAAAACTTGGTAGAAAATATAAAAATTATTGATGTCCTTAGTTAAAATCCATGGTTGTACTTTATTTTAAAGAAATAAAAATTCGATCTATGTACCGTGGTTTGTTTACTGGGGCAACCCAACACGACCCATGGATTGACCCAGTTTAATATGGTTCGAAACGTGAAAATTGAATTTCAATGAGTTAGAAAATACAAGTGTAAGGTTTATTTGAACAAAAAATAAAAATTAGACATCGTGACATGGTTACTGTTTCAACCCTGCTCGATCCATGGGTCAACCCAGCTAAACTTGTCGCAAAATGTAATAATTTAAAGTCCATTAATTTATAAAGTATATCATTGTTAAAAAATAATTTACGTATGGATCAACCCGCGAGTAAAAATACTAAAACAGTTGACCCACAACTCGCGTCATTCCGTCATGACCCAACCCGTATATAACCCTTCTTTAAATGGGTTAGGTTGGGTCATGGCCTACCTACTCACTAACTTGTATCGTTGGTTCTATTTTTTCTTTTATCCCATTGAAAAAAATAAATAAATGATGATTGTATAGTTTGAAAATCCAATGGACTATCCGATGAATAACCTTGGACTACCCATATCCGTCCAAATAATTTTTATCCAGATCCACCCAAACCCAACATTTTAAATGGATGGGCTTTTATGGGCAAAAGTCTAATGGATTTGGATGAGTAGTAAGTCTGTGGATTTTCTTGCCAGCTCAAATTGTATAGTTTGGAAATCCAATAGACTACCCGATGGATAACTGTGAACTATCCATATCCATCAAACAACTTTTTATCCAGATTCACCCAAACCTCAACATTTTAAATGGATGGACTTTTATGGATAAAAGTCCAATGGATTTGGATGGGTAGTAAGTCCGTGGGTTTTCTTGCCAGCTCTAATTGACGCCATCCAAACTATTACGTCTTCTGCAAATATGGCATATTCTCGTAGATAGAATGTCATAATAAATTCTAACCCGAAAAAAGAGAGACGGAGAGAGAGAGGTGTGAGAGAAGAAAATTAAACGTGGGAAATTCTGAAGATAGAATAAATTTTGCAGGAATTAAAGATAAGATATGATGAAATTGAGACATTAGTGACTGATTATGCTGTTGAGAGAAGGGAAGAGCCATGTTCTTGATGATAATTTTGGCAAAGTTAGAATTGGGAATTTGGGACCAGAAAGACCTTATATCTTGCAAACCTAATTGTGAATGCAAACATGTATATTTATGACCTTATTTGCAGACCAGAAAGACCTTTAATCGTGAATGAAAACCTAATCTCTAGCCTGGCTTCTATCTTGCAAACATGTATATATTTATGAAATCCCAACTTAACTCAAGAATTGAAGATGTGGAGTTTTGGGCAACTCACATGGTCAAGGACTCAAGGTAAAATTTTTAGTGGTCTTGGAGAGAGAGACTACCAAAATAAGCAAACATGATAGGTTTAATACGACACACGCATTAACAAAAAAAAAAGTTAGTAAAACAGAGCATTAAAAGGAGACAAAAGAAAGAAATATCATTTCAATATTGTCTTTTACCAATTCTTATATATGTGGTGCAGTGGTCTAATTAATTAAATCTATTTAAAGAGAAATAATTACTAGCATTAAATTAGTTAATTCTCTTTTCATCTTTAAATCATATATCATATATTTAAGCCAAAACATTATTATAAAGAAAATTAGAACATAAAAATATTAATGAATTAATACAATCCCATTCACACAAAAACTAAATGTTCATAATGATACAAATGTAAAATTCATGAATGATAGTTATATATTTTATATCAAATATATATATATATATATAATAACTTTTGATTAAAAAATTATACACATCACAAATAAAAGGTTGTCATCTATTTAATATTCTATTCATACATATACTATAACTATTCATGAAGATAATGTGAAATATTCATACAAGTTAGAGAAATTTCAAAAAAGTAATCATGTTCACATTCTTTTCATGAAATTTGGTACACTGATATAACTAATGCAATCTATTTAAGGAATTAAATAAATATCAAATTAGTCAATACTCTCTCTACATTTAATTTCTTATGTCCTATTTTCAAGACTAAACATAACTACGTGAAAAATTCAAACGGAAAGAAATAAATGGATTAATATGATAGTCCTTTATATAAAACTAAAGGTTCATGATCATATAATGTAAAAATTCATAAATGATAATCGTATTTTTCATATCATATATATATAAAGTTCATAGCTTTTGATTTTAAAAAATCATAAATATTAATCACAAATGAAAGTGTTAAGCTGCTTAATTTAATATTCATACACACATTTGTGACTATTCGTGAAAATTATGTGAAATTTTCATACAAATTGGAGAACTATCAATAAATTAATCATGTGGAGCATAATGGTTCATACTCTTTTAATGAAATATTCATGAACAACAATCATACGTTTTATATCATGTGTATCAAACTTTCACAATTTTCATGAAAATTGAAAGATTAGTCACAAATGGAAAAACCAAACACCATATTCATACTCATATACAATGGTATTCATGAGAATTATGCAAATTTTCATACCAAAAAAAAAAAAAATATTAATATGTAATTTAGGACCATGTATTCACACTCATTCTATGAACATTCATGAATCAAAATAACATTATTCATGATATATATAGATATACATATCTATATATATATATATCAAAATTTCATAATTTTTAGTAAATTTAAATTGTTCTAAATTCCCTGTTAGAAATTATGAATAAAAGGAGAGTTACAAACAAAATATTGATTCCTTTGTGAAGTATTTGGAAACGTGATATGTGAAATTAAATGTTAAGAGAAAATGAAATAATTTAATAATATTTTAATTACTTTCATTCCATATTTAGATTATATTAATTACACAAGTGTACCAAGAATGGTAAACCTTGTTCACCGTATAAATTTACTTCCTATACGTGTTAAATATTTGCAAACCTCAACGTTACTACATCTATAGTACTTAATTAAAGCAGCAAACAAAAAAGATACATGTCAGCTTCACAATGAAAATTTTCCCTGCAAAAGGCTTTTTTAATACAAAATGAAAACTGACAAGTGGCGCTCTAGATTTTCAGAAAAAAAAAGCTTTAAACAATTCTAAAATTTGCGTAAAAATATATATGCTTGAAATCCATATGCAGTTTAAAAAAAAAAAGATAATTACTTGCAGTTATTAATTTGTACCACTAAATCAGGGATATAAACACGCATCCCATGTAATTTGTAGTTAAACCACTAAATCATGGATATTAACACGCATCCCTTCTAATTTGCAGTTGGCTGAATCAAAATTACAATGTGGATATATACAAACGTTTTTACCGAAAAATTAATTTCATAGTAGTAAAATAAGAAATATTACATAAATTACAATTAATTACAATGGTGGACAAAACAAAATTACAGAATTACAATGACATCCATGATCCATTCCCTAAAATTTTGCAGTTTTACGCTGTGGTTAACTCTAATTCCTGCAATCAGAGTTCAGAAAAATCAATGATATGATTTGGCAATCAAAATTTCAGAAAAAATCAATGATATATTCAAATCATGAAAGTAATTATGCCTACGTTTGATGACTGATTTATTCATCAATATCTGTACAACACACTATGTGTATATCTCACCTCCAGTTTTGCAGGAAACTTCAAAATCAACGAGATATACTTACCTTCAGAAAACAATGGCTTCTCTTCATAGTGCCATACATTATCTCTATAAATACAATCACAAGGATTCTATCATCTTCACCAAAACCTTTTTCCAATATCCAATAGAGCAAGCAGAAAATACCATCACTCAGAAAACCCTAACCATGTCTGCAGCACAGAAAACAAATCAACCTGTGGTCAACCAAAATACCACATCTTAGAAAACCCAACCCATGTCTGCAGCACATAAAACAAATATCCCTGTTTCTGAAAGTGCCATGATTGGTACTCATGATCCTGTTATTAAAGATAATCTAATTGAAACATCTGCAACTGATGTTGCCGCATCTGTGGAGGGATCAGTCACCTCTTTGGTCCAATCTCATATTGAGACTCCTACTGGAAACCAAATTGCTGAAGGTGAAACTACTGTTGTTGCTCTCATGTCCCTATTGTTGCTGCACAACGGTATATTGCGAACATCAATGGGTTGATTCCAACCAAAAGCATACATTTCCACATCGTCGTTCGTGTGATGACCATCTGGAAAATGTACAAAACAAAGGAAAAGAAAAATGTCAGATCTGTTGAGTTGGCTTTGATTGATGCTCAGGTATTGTTGTCTTTTTTATGTTTTAAAAATTTATTCGTGAATACATTACTCTATAATTACTTTTAAATTAATTACATTAAATGAGTTCATATATTTGCCATACAGGGATCAAAAATTCAGGCTACAATACCTAGTAGAATGATGAAGGATTTTATGAAATATTTCAAAGATGAAGGTGTTTGCAGGAGGCTATCACGCTTTGATCACGGACGTATATAAGTGGAGGTTACCGTTACTCCAAACACAAATATAAAATTGTGTTTGGATCTGACACACTGGTTGAATTAGCTGTTGATTTGAAATTCCTAATCATGTTTTTGAATACACTCCGTTTGCAGAAATCACAAATTTTGTAGCAAACTTTGACTACTGTTTTGGTAAGGATACATTATTATATGATTTAGACATATATTTCCCTTTGTTATATATATATGAAGTATGTATGTTTCATAACAACTAATGGATTAATATATAATTATAATTTCAGATTTGATAGGACATATCATTGGTTTCAGTGATCCTATTATTGAAAATGGGAAAAAGAGAATTTCTGTTGAACTGAAAGATGAAAGGTAATCATTATTACATGGTTACTTAAAAGATATTTTCAAATGTTTTACCAATATCCAGTATATTACATACACATATGAATGTAATAAAATTGTATGTATATTTGTAGAGCTGATACATTGAAGGTTACTTTGTGGGATGAACACGCTAGTCGTGTTCTCAACTGTATGAATAATAACCCTGAATATCCTGTGGTGCTGATTGTGCAGTATGTAAAGTGCAAAAAATACTATTGTAAGTTTCTTCAAAAAATTTATACTCATAGATTTTAGCTATTATGGCAAATTGAGGTACTTTAATGATAAAAACTGCTTTCTGTTTACTTACATCTGAAGTTTCGGCTACAACAAATCTTTACAATGGTAGGATATATCTCAATGATATGACCATTCCTGATATATACGAGTACAAACACATGTAATCTTAAATTTTTTGATAATACATATAACAGTTTAAAAATGCAGACCTCCTAAATCATGCTTAATATAATTTATTAATGTCCAGTATAATTTATCAATGTACTTACCTTTGTAGGATGGAACGAGACGAGATCAAGGGTGCAGGTATCCACAAGATTTCACTGCTCTCATCCATTTCAGGGTATACATCGTTCGAGGACTTTGTCCGTGACTCTGAGATGTTAACATTATATGGAATCCGATGAATTGGACCAGGTAATATGCTGTTTGTCTACCGTATTATGTAACAATATAATATATATACATTAATTTATCCAATTTGCCTTTTTGTTTACAGGCTTGCAACGTTGTGTACAGGCTTGCAACGTTGTGGTATTTGCTAAGATAAGTGGTTTAGCAAAGGAATGACTGGTCATACACAAGTTGCAATATTTGTAACAAGAAGGTTTTTGAGATTGAAAATGCGAACAAGTCCAACAGTGGTGGAGGGAATAAAAAGGCACCTATTGGCAAGGCTAGAAAGATAGATACTGGAAAGGCTACTGGATGTGAAAAAAAAAATGGATGTGCAGTAATCATGGACCGGTTTTGGCTATTGGCCCAAAGTAAAAAAATCTTGGCTAAAGGATTTTAGATTACTTATGAATTTTACTTACAATTTTTATTTAATTGATTTTTTACACAACTTTAACAACATCTCCTGATGAATCTACTTCAGATTCAAGCTGCACTTTGGGACAGAATGGTTTATAATTTCGTAAACAAAACTGCTACCGAACTACGTGAACAGGTATACTTTAAATTACACAACAAATTTTAGTTAATTGTCAAATACATTGCATTTAGAAACCTAAAACCCTATTGTTGTCTACTGTCATGGCATTTATATTTTTTACTTTAATAGGGAACTGATGATTACCCTAAGATTCTGGAAGAGATAGTTGGAAAGAAATGTTTATTCAGGCTGGATATATCTAATTACAATATTAGGAACAACACTAGTGAGATATCTATTGCCAGAGTTACTAGTGATGCAGAAATAATCAAGAAATATCTTGATGCTGTTTTTGATGATCAGGTAATCTATACAATTATAATAACATAATCGAATTACAATGTTAGAATTATAGATTGGTGACATCATTTTTTATGTTCCACGAAATTGATCCAGATTTAAGTTCAGAATTCTATCCCAATGTAACACCAACTCAGGATAGCACTACTAAGGTATTTTTTATGTTTGTTAATTCTGAAATAAACTCCTGATACCTATGGAGATATTGTAAGGTTCTTAGATTGACTGTTAACATGAGATTGCGTGTAGGAGATACAATTAATAATCCTGAAGAAATAAGTGAGTTTGCTAACCGGTTGTTAAAAATCGGACGCTACGAAAAATCCCCCCCCTATAAAGACATTTGAAAATGCATTATTATATGAGGTATTAATATACTAGAGTTAATAGGACACTTTCAATAAGTGTATTCCATTCCAATGTCGCAATAGACTAGTGTATTAAGAAGTATGTTATGGTGACACATAAAAGTGTTTAAGTAGACATTTTCTAAAGTCACTTAAATGTTCTTTAACATAATATTTAAGGACATTTGAAATGTTTTTAAAGGTTATCTTTTAGTGCACTTCCATATATTAATTTGATATGAAATCATTTTTATTTAATTTTCTTTTCGGTTTTCTTGATTAGTTATTTTTGTTTACAATTTTTTTATATTTTTAATAATTATGATTCTGCACTTAGTATTAATTTATTAACATTTATTACTATGATAATAAACTAAGAGGAATCATATAAAAGTGGAAATATACGGAATCCATTGAAATCATTCTACGAAAACATATAAGCAGTTTACATGGATAAAAATTATTTATGAGCCCTATTACTAGAATCAAACTACGTCCAAAACAAATACAATTATTTTTTCCCCTAAAAATCAATCCAAATGTAGCTCTTCAATGCTTCCAAAACTTGAGATTCACCACTGAAGCCCACCTACTTCCAAAAAAAAGTTACTGAAGCCCTTATGCATCTCTTGTTACCTGCACAATTTTTGTGAAAAGATCTAAGATGCAAAACAAAGCATAAAACATTGTGAAAAAATAATAAATTTGGAAGAATAAGAAACGTATGAACGAGGATGGCCAAGCAATCATTTCTCCCATTACATCTCCAATCTTTCGAAATTTGCCGTAACCTCTAAACAAATATTCTTCGGGAATAATTTTCACAGTCACGAATACCTCACACCAGTTTGGACCTAGAACGTGTCCACCAACCTCTTTACTAGGGTCCATACTTTCAATGCATCCCTTAGCAACAATTTTGGTAGGATCATTTACACTCTTTAGGGAAACATAAGACCCAACCTAATAAGAATGCCAAATAATATGTGTTATATTTACAAACAAGAGCGTGGCAATGAATATGACATATGAGATTGATCAATTAAAAAGTTTCTTTTAAAAAAATTCTAAGGATTCTCACCGTAATAACAGGAGTTGGTGTATTCTGGTTTGGGATATCATGAAGTTGTAGTGATCGCTGACTCGCATTACCTTGTTCCTCGATCCTTAGATGCTTAGATGTGTTTTGAACTGTCCCTTGAGCATTTGATTGGCTAATTTCTTTGGTAACCATTTGCATGGTATTAGACTGACATTGCCTTAATGATTGAGCAGATATATCATCTTGATCAATTAGATCACTTGAATCATCAAAATTTTCTTGAACATCGCTATTACGTTCTTGCATATTGGCCTAAAAAAACAATTATATATCAATCACTATCTATTACCCATGTTTAATTTGTTAAAGATGATTGGTATTGACTTACATTTGCGCTTAAAATTGTTGGATTCGAGTCTCCATTAGAGTCCAAGAAGCATGCATGAAGCAACTCAACACGGCTTGGGGGGCGTCCATTTTCCTTTGTCTAGGAATAGATATTCATTAAAATACATTATATAATAATGGGAAAATCAGAAAATGAACAAATGAAAGAAAGTACCATTTTATGCTCAACTCGAGCAAAGGAAGTTTGCCCGGTTTTTTGATCATTCACCCTCTTGGCTCTAGCATTCTTCCTTCTTCGACTTATTTTCTGAAATTGAGTTCAAAGTAATTTAATCAACACATGAAGGTAAATGAGAATCAACTTCAAAAATATTACATACCTTTGCAGCCTCGCTATTCCAGTGAGTACATATCTTCATCCATTCAATAGCAGTGACTCTAGCATCTCTTTGGTCCACCAAAACTTCCACTAAAGCTTCATACCAATATTTGGCTTTCAATCGATTCTTCCAATTTCTCCATTTTTTACCAACAGAACTCAAAATCTTTTTTTTCGGCAATGCGAGGAACATGAAAACGTAACTACAACATATATGTAATCATTATACTCTAAATCATAAAAAATAGATTAAAGACATCAAGATCAATTGAGAAAACACAATAAAGTAACCAAGTTAAATAATTACCTTTACAATGTTCAGAATCTCATCCTTGTTCTCTATCTTACGCCAATCATTAACACCAATTGGACAATACTGGCAGTTACGAGCAATTGAACCCAAAAAATGACTAAGCATACTGCACTCTCCATCAACAGGATCACCCTTGTCATTATACTCGACATGAATTTTGGGTAAGTGGGGAGGACGACCCCAGATACTTTTCATACATGTTGGACCACGGGTTTTAGTTTCAGAATCACTTTCGACACCTTAATAAATTATAATTATGTTAAATTTTGTAATTCAAGAACAACTACATCACCAATTGATATTATATTACCTTGCTCATGTTCTTTTTCATGAGTACCAGTCACATGATCGTAATGGATCGTAATGGATTTCAGATTCTTCCCTATGTCTATGTGTGGACTGGTTAACCATAGGATCATTCTGATACAAACCTGTGATATATGTTCATAAGAAATCATATTAGCGCAACCTACAACTATAATATCCCCAAAATTCTAAACATAAAATAGGGAAACAAACTACAGAAATTTCCAAACGCAACAAAAAGTGATCATAGTGCATTTTGGATAGAACAGTGTTATGGTCATATTGAGATACCCCATTTGAAGTTTGACATGAGCCCATATGTCCACTATAAACTCTAGTACCCACTTGAGTTCTAGTTCTACTTCCTAAAAAAAAAGGAAAATAGAGCTTTATTGCATTAAAATAAAAAAAAAAAAGAAGAAACAATTCAAAGTTATCATTAGAACCAGAAATCCGAAATAACAATCACTAATCAATTTATAAGTTCATAATATTGCAAACTTCAAGTTTTCAAATTCTATGCTAACTATTTATTTTGCATTACCTTGTTGCAGCCCTTGTTCATCAATACCAGTCATATGATCAATTATAAACTCCTCCTGAGATCTAATATTGGTTTGGCTTCCAAAAGAATTCTTTTGAGTCGCACCTGCAGTACATGCCCAAAAGAATCAGAAAAAAAATACAATAAATATCTAAATAAAATAACTGTAATAAAAATGAAAACTTAATGGCATCACCTCGTTTTGGTATTTCATACTGAGCATTAGGACCATAAGTATCGATTCCTATTCGAGTCATTCGAGGCGCTTGTGAGTTTGACTCAGGTTCAGATTCTGAGATTGGCTCATCTCGAAGAACAACATTATTTTGCTTGCATTTTCGGCCTTTACCAGACATACCTAAAGCTTGTAAGCAATCAATTTGGCTAAAAATTATTTTAAAACAACCAAGCTATGCACATACGCTTCAAACTAGCTAAAAACTAGATCTTGTATGAAGATTCTAAAAAAATAAAAATAGCAATAAATAGCTAAATAAAATAAATAGAATAGGAAAGAAACCCCTAAAGGCATCACCTTGATTTGGTATTTGATACTGAGCATTAGCACCATTAGGGTTGATTTTTGTTCGAGTCATTCGAGGTGCTTGTGAGTTCGAATCATGTTCAGATTCTGAGATTGGATCATCTCGAGGAGCAACATTATTTTTCTTGATTCTTTGACATTTATTTGACATACCTACAAAATATAAAAAGCTAGTAAGTAATCAGTTAGGGTAACAAGACTTTAGAAAAACCAAACTATGCATATACTAGTTGAAAAAAAAAAAACTAGATCAGGTATTCATTGGTTAAATAAAAAAATTGCAATAGATAGATAAATAAAATAACTAGGATAAGAACGAAACTACTAAAGGCATCACCTTGATATGATGTTTGATACCGAGCATTAGCACTATAAGGGTTGATTTCTGTCCGAGTCATTCGGGGCGCTTGTGAGATCGGCTCGTATTCAGATTCTGATATTGGCTCATCTCGCAGAACAACATTATTTTGCTTGCGTTTTTGGCCTTTACTGGACATCCCTGCAAAATGTAAGAGTATGGAAAACTAGTAAGCGTTCAGTTTGGATGACAATAGTTTAAAAGAACCAAACAACGCACATATATAGGCTCGAAAGAAGCAAGAAAATCCCTAGTTTGGTTCTACTAAATCCCCTCATTGCCATCCAGATCTCAAGTACACCCCTCTATACCCGTAAAAAACCAAACAAACTAAAAGGTACGACTAATTTAAGTTTCATTGGTGCAAATTATCAAACACCTTAAGTGGAAAATCTTTCAAATCATTATAATTAGTAAATCAGTGCTAATTATCAAACAAACATATAGCAGTATTATTAGTGGTCAACCGATAATGAAAATCTCCGAAATCGTTACAATCAATCACATGCATGATGCATTCAAAGGAGAAAAACAAAATCAAGCCATATAAATTCGAAAAGAAAGAGGTGAAAATACCTGGTCAATTGTTACTCCGAATTAAGGATCTTTATCACCCAATTCCCACTGAAGAGTAAGTATTACCAATGGACATGTATATATATGAGATCGACCATGATAAGGATGAAGGATATGTGCTGATTTGTGTGGAGAAATTTTAGGCGATGATGGGAGTTGTTTATCCGAAGAAGAAGAAGGCGCGGAAGAATTTTCATTTTTAATCTTTTTGGCGCTTTTTCATATGGAATAAATTTGTGTCAACCTTGTGCTGCCCGCCCAAGGAAAAAGAAGACGAAAGAGAAAAGGTCGTGAATTTTTTCAGTGAGTTTATAATATAAGTATTGTTTATTGTTGTATGCCATTTAATTGTTTATTAGGATAAAATGATTAAAAAAACTAAGAAGCTATATTAGAGAGACTTTGCTAAGCTCTTTGATTGATATCACAACACTATTTTAATTTACAATATCAAATTAATGTAAGAATTCTATTTACGGGATGATTTCTTTGATATATAAAAAATACATGGTTCATGAGAAATTTTATTTTTTTCCTAACTTTGTTTACAATTTTTTTTTTTAAAAAAACAATGAATGTTTCAACGAGATTTGTGTCCATTCCTACAATAGTAATGGATTGTGGCTTAACTATTTAATCTCGAAGCTATCAAAAGAATTTTATGTCCCTTTCGATTATCTTATAAAGATCTTACAAAAATATTGCATTTTATATTCGATTAAAATTGAAAAACAACCATAATGTACTATTTGGTCTAACCAATGGAATACACACGATGTAATTATTATTTTCTCATCCTTAAAATGTAGTATTTATATGGTATACTTCATTTAGTATACTCAATTGTGTGCTTCTAAGTTTTTTTGGTGTAACAAGTATACTTATTAAAGCAAATAAAGCAAATTGTTTCAAGTTAAAGGAAATAAAGCTAAAATGTTCTAGTTTATACTAAGAAATCAACATGCATGGGAGAAAGATTATATGTAATGAAGAGAGAGTAATAATACTCTTTTTTTTTTTGCATGCTCTTATAGTATTCGCTAAAAACTACTCCCTGTCATAAAAAAATAGTTCAGATTGACTTTCCAAATCTGTTCTAGTTTTAGTACAAATTTAAAAACTCAATGTCGACTAATTTTTTAGGAAGAAGTGAATATAATAATATACAAATTATGTGGATTAGTTCAGCAAGCCCCCATACATATTAGAATAGCAAAAACCAATCTGATGATAAATTAAAAGAGTTGAACTCGAGATATGTACTCAATGCAACTTTTGGGATTTAATGAAAAATACAAATACTTTGCATAGGGGCGTAATTGAAAAAAAAAATCCAAATACAATCACAATAAAATCATTAAAAAATGTAATGACGTGAATTTATAATAAAAAGGGTGCCACAAATGAAAATTTAAATCTTTTATTGATCCAAATTACATATTTAATACAAAGTCTTCCTGGCACAAACTTGTCGCAAATCCATTTTGGCTAGCTATTTGAAGTAAAAATAATGTCAATAAGTGAATTTTATTTCCGAAAAACTTGTCCCAAATCCATTTATTGAAAATTTCTTTATTCCTCAATTCTCGAAAAACCTCTCTGCTCCCTTCATTTCCTCCCAAAAAACAACAATCACAACCCCAGCAACCTCCCCTTTTCTTTAGTACTCCCTCGACCAAAACACAGCAGCCACCACCGAAAAAAATCAGCTTCCTCCTCGCCTCCTCTTCGTAGGCAACAATCTCTTCCTCGTTGTCGACGTCGAGGTCACCAAACTTTGCTTATCAATCAGCAGCCACCGAATCTCAATTACCTATTCTCTTTTGTTTTTGGTTCAATTCAAAACTGAACGGTTCGTTTTATAATTGTTTACTTTGTGGAAGTAAACGCTAGCAAGGATTAAATTTAAAGAAAGGACCAGCAAAGGGTGATTGAGGCTTTAGGAGAAAGGAGAAGTTCGAAACTCGGCAATCAAGCAGGGAGTTTATAATCGGGTAGTCTTCTCACCCTCAAATTGTAAGTTTACCATCTCTGAATCTTTAATTATGAAGCTTTATTGCGGAACTAGAAATAAACAGCAACATGAATTTTAAATCTTAATGTAGGGTGCATGTGCGTAGTACTTGGGCATGTTTTCCGGATGGAATATTAAAAGTAGATTGGCAAAGGGACCTTGTTAATTGAAAGTAAATTGTTACCATAAGTCAAAGTAAATGAAAGTTTTCCCATTTTTATTTATGAACTCACTGTATGGTAAATACAACCTGCTTTCATTGTTTGTATAGCATTTGGAAACATCATTGTTTGACAACATGGATAGGAGTTGGATGAGCAAGAAAAGAGTAAGTGAAGAATACCAAAGTGGACTTGAGTTTTTCTTGAACTTCGCATTCTCAAAGTCAAGTGTAAAGGGGATGATATTATGTCCATGCAAACGTTGTCAGATTAGTGTCTTCGTCAGTAGAAGTGAGGCATTTGACCACTTGATGGTTGATGGATTTATCCCGGGATATACACATTGGATAGCTCATAGAGAGCTCGCTGACAGTAGTTTGTCTAGGACTCAACCTCAAATAGATTATCCTGATGCTTCAAAATTTGTGGACGATATGCAAAATTTAGTTAATGAAGCTTTTGGGGCTAACAAAGAAGATTTCAACATCCAAGACGCAACTAGTATTCCAAGTGATGCAGAAGTTGCTAGTGGACAGGCTAGAAAATTTTACAAGTTGATTGATGAATCTCAGAAAAACTTATATGAAGGGTGCAAAAAATTTACGAAACTTTCATTTATTATCAGACTGCAGCACCTGAAATGTCATGGGAAAATGACCAATAAAGTTTTTGGTATGTTGTTGGATTTGTTAAGGGAAGCTTTTCCAGAAGCCATGGAGGGTTTGCCTAAATCGTACTATGAAGCAGAAAAATTAATGACAGATTTAGGACTTGGCCTTGAGAAGATTGATGCTTGTCCAAATGACTGCACTTTGTATTGGGGGCTAAATGCGGGAAAAACATCATGTGAGACATGCAATGAATCCAGGTGGAAAATTTCTGACAAGGATCCAGATGGTGTGAAGAAAAAGATTCCACGTAAAGTATTGTGGTATTTTCCTATCAAACCAAGATTGCAGAGATTGTTTGTCTTCTAAAACAGCTTCTCATATGCGATGGCACTCCGAAGGTCGTACGAAGGATCGCTATATGAGACATCCTGCAGATTCCCCAACATGGAAGACATTTGACAGTTTACATCCTGAATTTGCTAAAGAACCTCGAAATGTGAGATTGGGGTTATCTTCTGATGCATTCAATCCGTTTAAACTTATGAGCTCTTCTCACAGTATATGGCCAGTGGTATTAATTCCCTATAACCTCCCACCCTAGATGTGCATAAAACAACCATATTTTATGCTGTCATTGTTGATTCCTGGTCCATTATGTCCTGGTAACAATCTTGATATTTTTTTACAACCTCTTATTGCTGATTTGAAGGATTTGTGGGAAGTTGGATTTGAAACATATGACGTATCTAAGAAGGAAAATTTTCAGCTACGGGCATCAGTTATATGGACCATTAGTGATTTTCCTGGATATGCAAACTTATCAGGATGGAGAACTAAAGGTAAAATTGCATGTCCTATTTGTCACAAACATACACATTCTTTTTGGTTAAAGAATGGACACAAAGATTGCTATATGGGTCATCGAATATTTTTGGACCAGGGACATTCGTTTCGAAAGAAAGCTAGTCTTTTTGACGGATCTATGGAATATGAAGAAGCACCGCCACAATTGACTGGTGATATGGTGTTTGATGAATTGAAAGATATTTCTGTTAAATTTGGAAAGTTAGTTCCTGCGGATCTATAATTGCTTTTTAATTGGAAGAAGAGAAATATTTTTTTTGAGTTGCCTTATTGGAAAGATATTGTTGTGCGTCACAATCTTGATGTCATGCACATAGAGAAAAATGTTTGTGAGAGTATTTGTGGAACTTTATTGAATATGGATGAGAAGTCTAAAGACAATCATAAATCACGGCTCGACTTACAAAACATGGGTATTAGATCAGATCTTCATCCTATTACAAAGGACTCTGGGAAAGTTCATTTACCTCCAGCATCTTTTACTATGAATAAGGATGAGAAAGCCATATTTTGTGAGGTTATGAAAAAGGTTAAGGTGCCCGATGGTTATGCTTCAAATATCTCACGATGTGTTCAAGAAAAACCACCAAAGCTTGTCGGATTGAAAAGTCATGACTATCACGTCCGAATGCAGCAATTGTTAGGCATAGCAATTCGAAAAACGCTATCTAAATCAGTACGTTCTCCTTTGCTCCGATTGAGTAGGTGCTTTAGAGAATTGTGCTCTAAAGTGATTTGTCCTACTGATGTGATATGTTTGGAAAAAGAAATCGGTGTGATACTTCCACCATCATTTTTTGATATTATGGTTCATCTTACAGTGCATTTGGCTACCGAAATTAAACTAGCTGGGCCAGTTTACTACTGTTGGATGTATCCAGTGGAAATGTAGTTAAGAATTTTATATTTTTTT